CTACACTAACCCACTGCAATTATTTCCTGTGGAGGGTTGCTGTAGTCCTAAGGATTCAGATTGGGTACGGGATGGCTTGGGGAGGGGATGTTTTCTCCCACAATTCCCTCACCCCAAGTCTGACCATTCAGGCTTGCTGTGTGTGCTGAGTACATCTTCACTAGAGAAGATTGTACCCATACTGCAGTAACAGCCAGAAGCACAAAAGCTGCACCACCAGTAACGTGCTAATGTAGACAGGGCTCAGGTATTTTCCATGGCCTGGTGGCAAAAAAACACTTGAGACTTATCTATACTAGTATTTACCACTGCTACTGCTGGTACAACTGGACTCTTGTTGGAAGTTGCTATGATGTGGTTATTAATTTTTTTTCTAGAGTAGTTGGAGCCTAAGGCCTAGATTTTTAAAGCTATTTAGTCATAACTTTATTCAGTTTTGCAAGGCCTAAGTGACGTGGATGGCTTAGAGCTTCTTTATATAAACATTTAGTGCACACTTGAGCTATCCCTCTAGATAAAAACACACTAGAGAACTTGTAGTGTATGGCAGCAGGGTCACACAGACAGTGTGCAGGAAGCTGGGAGTAACTGTCTCTTACTGGCCTGCTGCATGCTAACTGCCTGGGTGGACCTTGCTACTGTAGAAAGTCCTATTTCAAAAGTGACTTGGCAGTTCAGGCTAGATCCATAAAGGGGACATAGATTTATCATTGCAATGCTTAACTTTAGTTCCTGGTAGAATCCACAGCCATGAGTTAGATGCCCATATAATGGGGAGAGTTAGATACCTAAGAATTGGATTCATAAAAGCTAGGATTCTGAGTGAGGAGCTGCCTAAGCTAGTCAATTGGGAAATGCTGAGGAGAGGAGTGGGTTCTCAGCTCCGCCTCTCAAAGGGAGGTAGTGTATGGGGAGATTAAGAACCCCAGGTAACAGTAGGTGCCTAACAGGAGTGAACAATGTGTAAGAATTAGGGAGCTAAATATTTGTTCAATAGTAGTAACCCAAAATTCTATAATATCACTATAGTATACAGTCTTGTTCAGAGCCAGCTCTGTAGAATGATATGTTGTATTCTTATAGGGAAGAATATGTGGAAATGATCCTATTCTGTTTTTTGGTCTTATTCTTCTACTGCTTTTTATTTTCTTTCACCATGAGCCTTTCACACTCATGTTGGCAGTTTTCCTCACATACAATGGTATTTAGTCCTAATCCTGGCTTCTTTGTCTACCAGGTTGCTGCGAATCCAAGATCGGTTTCAGGTCTTCTTTATGCATCATAAAGAAGTAAAAAAGGGCACAAGTCCAACAAAGTATTTTGCAGGTCACTTTTAAACAACTGTAAGACTTATTGGATGGGTGAAGACTGCACACTTAATTTTTTCTCCTTGATTTCACACAAATGAAGTGTTTATGCACATGCATTCCTTATGTGAAGGACACAATCCTTGTTTGGCATGTTTTAATGGCCCCTGTACCAGGGCTCTGACAAGGAGTTTTTAGCAAACTTGGTACCCTACTATCGAGTAGTTGACCGTCCCATATAAAATCCAGTCTTCTGACATGAATACCAAACTTTTGTGAGTTAAAATTCACTTTTGACTAGCATTCAGGCAAGTAATGATTGCTTGCTTGACTGTTTACAAAGAGCAAGTGAGTACAAAAGGAGTCCAAGAATGACTGGGATTAATTCAATTTTAAATTTCAGCAGGTATTCATATCATCCAGATCAGCAAGTAACCCTTTATGTGCTGGAGTTCCTTTACCTTTGTCACATTATTCTTATGAAATAGTTGTGCCTGGGGATTTACATAGATAGGAAAGACACAGTACCTTCCTGTAGGAGCTCACAATCTAAGATGAGTACAAGGCAGGACACTTTATAAGGACGTAAGGCTAGGGATGAGGAGAGAGGGAGGAATTAAAAAAAAACACTGGGGAAAAAACCCATAACTGAGGATTCATAAATAAAATTACAACTTTGTTTATCCAAAAATGCGTATATGTCATTGGTTAAAAAATGCAGAGATTCAGGAAGTTAGAATTTTTAAACTCTCTTGGGTGGCACTGCTCACCTGACACAATAGGGAAACTCCTCTGGTCCTGGAGGATGCTCCAGATTTGTGGAGGCACATTCTGTGTGGTGGGGGCAAATACTTCCCAGACAGAATGATTGTGAAGAAACTCTTCAGAGAGACCTGTTCCACCTTACCTCTTTTTGCAGGGTTCCCCCTGAGAGGGGCTAGTCTGGCCCAGTGTTTTGAAACTTCTTGGGAATGATGGGTGATATAAATGCTACAGAAGTCCATATTGTTGGTCAGGAGGCAGGTGTGAGCTAGATACAGCCTTCACAAATCAAATTTCCCTAAAGCTTTATCTACCTCTGTAGCAGCTGAAACAAATATCAGATAGATCAAATGTGTATTACTATAAGTGGTAGTCTAATTTCTTCCAACAAGCTCTCTTCACTGAGTGAGAATGTACCCGTTTAGTATAGCGCAGGTTTATGATGATGTATTATGAGTTTATTGTAAATAAAAACACCATAACTTTCAAGATATGTAAACTGCAGTGGGGTGTTCTATGGTGCTCTGTTGCCAAGCTATCATGTAAAAACCTGCTAACATTCTCCTTATCATCAGCACTTTAACAGTAGCTGTAAGAGGTAAACACCACCAAACAAGAAAGCCTTCTCTCTTTTTTTTTTTAAAAGGAAATCTAGGGAGCAATTAATTGCAACAGAGAAATTAAACATGAGAAAAAAGATTAGAAGAGCAAGAAAAAAAATTTTAAACTCTGTTTGAAGAAATAATTAGATCACATTAGCTGGCCAAGAAGCAAACTGCAAAAAATACCCCACACCACAAACGTTTTAAACAAAAAATTCCGGGCCCAACCCTGACCCCATTGAGAACACTGATGAAACTAACTGACTGAATGGGAACCAAATAGGGTCCTTCACTTCACTTTAAGATCTACAAAGTGTTTGTTTCCCCTTTCTCCTTCTGTCTTCAATTATTGGGATAATTCCCAAGTCAGGCTGAGCATTGCTTAGTGCAGCATTCGATGGTAGGAAAAAGATGTCTTTGTGGCACATTTACACCTCTCCAATGGACAAGGATAGTTCAGCTCCTGACGCAACTTAGAGAAGATTCAGAGATGGTCTATTTGTTCCCCACTACCTATGGGACTGTTTTGGCAACTGGGGATAGCTGGAGCATAATAGGGTTCTGGCCATGCCCTGTGTAGCAACCTGCATGTAACTTGGAAGGAGGATCACAGGTTACAGGAAGGAAGTGTGTGGTGAAGGTCAGTCTGTGTGCACATGGCTAGAATGCTAGCTGCAGTTGCAGCATGTCTGTAAATAGTTTTCTTAATAAAAAGACTGTTTTGTTTTACAAGCATGGAATCTTTTCATGCTATTACCCAATACATTACGGATGTGGTGTAGAGTCAGGTTAGCTGATATTACCTGATGCTGGAGGAATCTTCAGCTGGTAAATCAAGTGAGCTTTATGCTCCCTTGGTTATTGTGAAGCAAAGGGCCCAGAGGTTTCCAAAGATCAGAGTAGCATGTAGAGGGTACTAGGAGGTTAGGTGGGCTAGCTTTACCATTGACTCCAGTGAGAGAGGGATTAGGTTGTTGGTGACATACTAAAGACACATTTATCTATAACAAAAGATAAGCAAAGATGAAATGTCAAATCTGCAGTTCTGTCCCGTAAGGGCAATGCAGCTTTTTTCTTTTGGCTTCATGTGTTTCTTCTCTGACTTTTTAATGAACAGTATCTGATTGAAATGCATCTAGAATTTGGAGTTGACCATTAATATTGAGGGAACAAATGCTGAGTGTCCACCAGAGAATAAAGGAAGGAGAATCACAAACAAAGATCACCAACCCAGTGCGTCAAAGTCTCTTGAAAACCTGAGACCGGTTACAGTCCTTTTCTTTCCAATCCCTTAAGAGATGAAAGTTCATGCTGGGAGAGAGAGGCCTTGACTTTAGGATCAGCAGGGGACAGCAGCTTGATAACACATTGATATTGAATTTAATGTGGCATTGTTCATATTTCAGCTTGAGCGCCTATCTTCAAACTGAGGTTAAGTAACAAAGCAAAGTTTTGTGGGTTATTCACTTTGCACAGTGGCTGCCTCCGCTATTCCTCTCACTAGTTAGAGAAAACATAAACACTAGATTCAAACACACAGTTATAAATGTTCCAAAACTAAACCAGGGGAGATGGGGTGGTGTAATGGAAAGTCCCCCTGCATTCTCTTCTTTTCTGTGTCTTCTCCAGGCTTAGAATTCAAGAAGTACAGGTATTAGAAAGGGAGGGTTCAAGGTGTGACTTCTATTTCTGAGCCCAACATTGAACAGAGAGAGACTTCTGCCTGGCTTTTGAGTAGACTGAATGGGGGCTTGTGCAGCGGAGACTGAGTCTCTGGTGAACAGCTTGCTGCAGTTATAATTTTAATGAAAATTGAAAGCTTAAGTGCCATCGTTTCCCATATTACTTCTACCCCTAAAATGATTTATTGACCACTTATACATGATACATTCTCCTGTCATGAATAACACACTATATATTTATTTTCATGAATAATGGCCACCATTTTAATTGATAGTTTCAGACAGAGTAGTAGATTTATTCCTACAATGAATAAAACTACTTGCAATATACAGACAGTATAAATTATTTTAGCACTTATTCTAGTTTTCCCTTTGCAACCCAATGTTAACAGAAATCAATCAAATAAGATCTAATATATCACTATTCAGCAGCTTCTACAAAGTACACTAAAACATTTTTTCTATAATGTTTTTGAAATGTGTTAAATGATGTTGCCAAAAAGCTTTTGCTGAACCAAGAAGCTTTTGACTTGTCTGATGTATCTGCCTGTAAGATGGCTGTTTCATTTTCCTTTAGCTTATTTGTCTTTCCTTGGCATCCTACCTGTATATGTAAGACATCTCTTTTACTTTCATTTATTATACAGGCTTTCAGAAAATCTTCCCATTAAAAACATAAATGAAGCTTGTCCCACATGGATTTTTAAATGGAAAGTTAAGATTCAACTGAGATGATAATCAAATATTGATTCCTGAAATGTATAACCCTGCATGGACAGGTGAGTTCTGCATTCATTCCTGTGTGTGATATACGGAACACAATGAGCCAAGTCTGTGAGGGCTTCTCTTAATGCTGAGGATGATCATGGTTCAATACTAAAATTTCCATTTCTTGCAAATAATTTCATTCTGTAATTAATGTTCGAGGCTATATGTGATATGCTGTGTGCTCACAAATATGCCCCAGTTGCGTGCTGCAGCACAACAGAACTATAAAAGAATGAAATTACATACATTCCTTTCTATAACATAAAATCACAGAGCTCACAGTGAATCACTTCAAAACAGAATTAAAATGCTACAGAGCATACAGGAAGAGGTTTCATTAAAATACAAACAAACACAAAGCTTCTTGAACAAATTGCGTTGTGATGCATTGACTCAAATATCATTACAATGTGTTCACCTACCAGTAATTTTTAGAGATCTATTGTTTATTTTTGAAGTGAGGAATAATAATCTTTTCATTTCTTCTTCTTTAATAAACTATTTTTCAAATTGTATCAAGGTCAACATTTTCAAATATGGGTGCCTCAGGTTCAGCACTTAAATCCATATTTAGGCACTCAATAAGGTTTTTCTAAGTATCCATCATTCAAAACTTCAGGTGCCTTAATTGGAAAATTGTGTAAATAAAACACTTGAATATTTTTATGAACCAACAGATAGTTGACAAGAGAAGAACATAAGGAGATATGATGGGTGAGGGATTAAGGAGAAGGGACAGAAGTGGGTCATAAATCAAATGGCCCAAATACAGGTCCAAGAATGCATGTTAAAACATTATGGAGGTCTTGTCAAAGACAGAGTAGAAGGATTAATATAAGGAAAGCACATGGGGTTAGAGTTAAATATTCTTCATTCTATTCTTGGCTCTGCTACTGACTTGACGTATGGTGTTGGGCAAGTCACTTTACCATATGGTTGCCTGAGTTCATTAATTTATAAAATAGCAATAATTCTTAAAGGCAAGTCCTACTTTCCATTGAAGTTTGTAAAGCACTTTGAGATGCTTGGATGAAAGAGACTAGAACAGTGGAGAGTATTGTTAGTATAATGTGTCAAAGTATAGATGTAATCAGGTGAGCTACCACTTTCAAATAAGGCAATCATAGTAGATGTATAGTACAATACATGAACTACAATTTTGTGTTTATTTTATTTAAAGTATAACACTACATTTGCTGCTCGGTATATTTTACTTGGCTAAAGCTACATTATTTGAAAAAAGGAAATGCTAGATCATATAAGGATTTGAATTGCTTATTTCTGTATCTGTATTAATATTTCTTTTCTCTTGCTCTAAATTATGTAAGCAATTTCCATGAGAAAACACAAACCATGTGATTGCTAGACACTATAGTTTGCTACTAGAGCTATGAAGTCAAGAGCTATTTTAATAAAATACCGTAGTCAATTAAATTCAGTTTCTAAAGAAGGGAAAGTAAAGACTGCTGAAAGTCGATCAAAAGACACCACTCACTGCAGGGGGGCAAGTTAAGCAGAGAAGAAACTAGACCTAAAGGATAGAGTTCTTTCTATTAGGCAGCAGCAAAGTCATTTACATTATTCATTGCACTTTAGAAAAAAAAATATTCATGAATAGTTTGAAAGGAATAGATGGACCTAACGGACAAAGAATGCAGACATAAAGCAAGGGAGGGAATAAAAAAGCAAAAGCAAAATGCAATACTATCTAGGGGACTTAAAAGAAATATGAAAGAGTTCTAGAAATACAGAGAGAATAGGAAATACGAGACCACTACAAAAAAACAAGAAAAAAGAACATGCAAGTGAGGCCTCCTAAATGGCTGAAAAATATTAAACTAATTTTTGCATAATTTTAAATGTAAAGGAAAAATGAAGAAAGAGAATGTTATGTGGGAGAGGAGATCACGGGCCAAAGTTTAGTTTAACTTGTACATAGCGAGTTTATTCTTCTGCCTTTCTTATGTGGAATAGTGCTTTACTTTAAGACTAGCTCCACTGAAGTCAATGGCGGGGATGGAGGTGGTATAAGGTTGGGCTCTGTGGGATGGCTTGCAGAGAAGGAACTGTAAGGCAGGCAGAATCAGACTTTTATGAGGAAGCCACAAAATCTATAGGTTAAAATATTGTGTGAATTCATTAAAGTTAATAAAGATAAATAGCTGTATAGCTTGATTAACATACATGAATTAAGAAAAAAAGATAATTTTAAAAAGAAGAAAAATCAAGCAGTGCTGCTGTAGTGCATGGTAAAAGGTGTCCTCCACAGTCTTAGGTCTGAATTGGTCTAACTTCAAGCCATTAGATCTTATGTCTTTGTTTCCTCAATTAAAGAGACCTCCATCATTAGAAATCTCTTCCCCATATAAGTACTTATAGGCCATGAGCAAGTCACCTCTAAACCTTTTATTTGTTAAGATTAATAGATTGAAGTTCTTTACTGTAAAGTAGGTTTCCAGACCTAGGGTCATTCTTGAGGCTTTTTCTAAACCCTTTCCAGTTTGTCAATTTCCCTAATTGGTCTCCAGAGGAAACTGACTAGGGAATTAGCACTAGTCAATAAATGGGGTAAATTGGATTTAAGAACAGAATGTCTGAACTGGGCCTCCAAAGAGGAGTTTGTAGTTTAAGGCTACTGTGTGAAAAGCAAATGCTATTCTCTGGTGTAAACACTATTGGCGTGATTCAAAACACATTGAAGTCAATGAGAATCTTTCAGTGGACTTCAATAGGCTTTGGATGTGGCCCTCTAGAAGAGGATCATATGTAAAATTTCTGAGATAAAAGGGCTGCTTTAGAAAGACTTGGTGCAACCAGAACAAGAATATTGTAAGCAGTTTTTCCCTTCATGAAAGCTATAGAAACTATAGCAAAGGTGATAAAAGGAATAAGATGGGGATAAATATATCTGGAGAAGCAAGTAGCTAAAATTATACGGTGTAGACAAGAGAAGACTTAGGAGATACATGATCCCAGTCTGAAAATCCCTTCCAGGTGCTAATAAAGCTTCCCACAATCTCTCCAGGAATAACCTTTCCTCAAATTACTCATGTAATATAAAAAAGGAACTAATGTGATGTGTGTTAGATAACTGAGCCAAACTCTTATTAGTGAGAACGTCTCTCCTCCTTCCTCCATGACATCTCTCCCTCAGTTAGGTCATTTATTTTTTCTCTTAGAGCTCAGTCCAACTCTCCTTGACATTTTCCCATTCTCTTTAGTGGGAGGTGCATTAGGGCAGGCCTGGCTTCAGGATTTTGGCTGCCCCAAGCAGCCCCAAAAAAAAAAAGTCGCAATCTGCGGCAGCAATTCGGCGGGAGATCCTTCGCTCTGAGGCGGAGTGAGGGACCGTCAGCCGAATTGCCGCCAAATACCTGGACATGCCACCCTCTCCAGAGTGGCCGCCCCAAGCACCTGCTTGACAAGCTGGTGCCTGGAGCCAGCCCTGCATTAGGGCAGTAAGCGATCACTTTTTTACTTTCTGTAGAATGACTTACACAGCTATGACATTATATACACACAATAAAAATAATATTGATAAAGAAGAACTTGTTCAAACTCAGAAGGAAAAGAGACAATAGCATGAAGCTAGACATTTATAAAATATCTTTTATGACTTTGCTCATCAAAAGAGCATGGTAGAAATCCTGGCCCCATTTACAGTCAATGGCAAAATTCCCATTGATTTCACTGGGGCCAGGACTTCACTCTCTACATATATTCTTGTATATTTCATTACTGTTCATCTGTTGGTCGGCGACAAATACAGTGCAATTTAATACACACAAAATAAGCACACACCGCTCTTGGCAGCACAAATCCTTGCATAATATAAAAGCCATTATTTTATTTATTTTATATAGATATATACACACATATACTGGAGACATACATTCCTAGAGCGAGAGACTTAGGCTAGGTCTACACTACCCGCCTGAATCGGCGGGGTAGAAATCGATCTCTCGGGGATCGAATTATCGTGTCTCGTCAGGACGCGACAATCGATCCCCGAATCGATGCGTTTACTCCACCAGCGGAGGTAGGAGTATGCACCGTCGACGGGGAGCCGCGGAGGTCGATTTTGCCGCCGTCCTCACAGCGGGGTAAGTTGGCTCCGATACATCGAATTCAGCTACGCTATTCGCATAGCTGAATTTGCGTATCTTAAATCGACCCTCCCCTGTAGTGAAGACCTGCCCTTAGAGAATGTCTACACAGCAAAGAAAAACCTGTAGCTGGCCCATGCCAACCGACTCGGGCTTGCAGGTCTTGGGCTGCAGGGCTGTTCCATTGCTGTGTAGACTTCTGGGCTTGGGCTGGAGCCTGGGCTATAATTGCCACCCACCTTGCAGTGTCCTTGAACCCAAGCTCCAGCCTGAGCCCAGAAGTCTATATAGCAATGAAACAATCCAGCAGCTTGAGCTCTGCGAGCCAGAGTCCGCTAGCACTAGGGTGACTAGATAGCAACTGTGAAAAAACGGGACAGGGGGCAATAGACGTCTATATAAGAAAAAGTCCCCAAAACTGGGACTGTCCCTTTAAAAACAGGACATCTGGTCACACTAGCTAGCATGGACCAACCGTGGGTTTTTCTTTGCGGTGTAGACAGACCCTTAGTGGCTACACTTGCATATTAGGCTAACACAGACGACTGGCTATGGTGCTGACAGGTGAATAGGCAAATTCTACATCATATTATAACTTTGTTAAAGATTTTTTCCAACATTTGCAAACTTGAGTATTTTAAGTTAGTCATTGAAATCTGAATTTAGGTGAAGTGGCACTTTTTTCTGAGGTGCTAAGCATGTGCAGCCCCATGGAACTCAGTGGGGCACCACTTCTAGGAAGAAAAATCATTTTTGGTGGGAAGAATACTTTCTCTTCCTCTTTCTATTCTCCCCTACCACCACAAGACTATATTACAGCAAAGAGTAAAATCCAGCTCTCCTGACTCCCAGTCCTTTGACCATGCTGCCTCTACAATAATAATAATTTCACCTATGGGCAGGACATTTTTAATCTGGTTTCTATTTAATTTTTTTATAATTAATGTTTGATGATGAGCACATCTGTTTGATAATATAATTGTCATAAAACTAAAATAAAGATGAACAGCAAATAAAATTATAATAAAAATACTTTTCCTGTCTCATCTTTTATTACACGTAAAAATATAAAACGTAGGTGGTTTTCAACAATTATTAATACTAGGTCCCATCAGTAAGACAGAAACTTTAAATACTGTAGAAATATGTAAAATATTCAAGTAAAAATGCAAGACAAATTAAAATCAGCCTTAGCTCACAAAATGGTAGTGATTTCCCAATAATTTTTGTGTGTGACTCTGAACATTCCATCAAAACCTTTTGCAAATGTCTGATTCACTTTGAATATTCCTGAAAAAATTGAAGCTCCAGTTTGCTTATCAACTTCAACTTGAAATGATGTTCCCTAGGAAAAATCATGTGGGTTAAATTGCACAGCATTGCTTATATGACAACTACTACTTCCACTTCACTGTGCAGTTGACTGGAATCCTCAGCATCTTCAGAGCAAATTGCCAAATCTTCTTCAGAGTAGCCTTCTCATAATAACACCACTGAATGAATACACTCTCTCTATAAGTGCTAAATTTTGGCATATTGGTTTCAGCCTCTGACTAAGGAGTGGTATAGAGCTGCTGCAACTCAAGGAGCACTGTAGAGACTGCTTCAGCCAGATGATCAGTCTCTCTTGGTGCTGCTCACAGTGCAGGGAGGTATTCATTTTGCACAAGACATGAGGATTGCCCAAGTGCACGCAGGCAGGGCAAGGGAAAACATAATCCTGCCTCCTTCTTCTCATTCTCTACACCCTTTTCATCATCCAGCTCCAAGCAGCAAACAGTATATGTGCTGCATAGAGTGCAGGGATGGTTATCATAAGTAGAGCTGGTCAAAACTCAAAATTTCTGTTCCGCAAAAAATTCTGGCATTTTGCACAAAATTTAGAACAATTTTAAAATGTCATAATTTCCCATGGAAAGGACATTCTGGGGATTTTTTTTTAAGAGAAAATATGTAAGAAACAAATTAGAGCAGCAGGTTGCCCAATTCCTGGAGTCTCTTTGAACT